CAAAACTGAGCACTGGGATGCAAAACTAAGCACTTCCCAGCACCACCCAGAGCACTGCCTGCAGGCACCTGGAACAGGAGCCAACCAGAAACACAAGAGGCAGACAACACGTGGAGAGGATGAGTTTCCAAGCCTGTAAAGCCAAATTTGATTTGTTCATTTAAATTAAAAAAAAAAAAGGAGAAAAAAAAAAAAAAAAGAGAGAGAAAAAGAAACACTAAACCCAACCAAAAAATGCAGCCCTCTAAGGAAGAAGAGACCTGCAGGTCTAACCAAGGCTGTGCCCTTATTGATCAACAGGTAGGAAATAGTGGTCCTGGTCACAAGCAGCCTGGTATTGATAGAGCTGAGTTAATAATGCTTAAGGGAAGAGAAGGAAAGGTCAATGTAGAAGTGAAAAATTGACTGCTGCCTTGTTAGGCCCAGGTGCCTGTATTATTAAATAAAAACTTGGCAGTGCACCTCAAGTAAACCAAGGAACATAAATTATGTAAATTCATCTCCCATCTTTCTGCTGCACTGCATTAAAGGAAGCAGGGTAAGACCCAAAGTACATGATAAAGGGAGGAGATTAAGAGGAAACACATATAATCTTAGAGGTTATAGTGTGAATAGATAGGGTCATAAATTAATTTCAGTATGAGGACTGTTAAAATCATCTAGCATAACCCTGGCCAGAAAATTTCCTACAGACCTTTGTTTGAGCAAGAAAACATCCTCCAGAAGGACACTGAGATCTTATTTAAAAGCAGGGCATAATAGAAAAATCACTTTATCATTAATAAGCTAATGCAAAAGTCATGCCTTCTATCTGGTATAAATGTATTTTGTTTTACTTCACAGAGACACTGGCTGTGAGGCAGGAAACCTTGAATGAAAAGCTGTCCTTTCCTCATGAGGCCTAGAAAATCTAGGAAGCCATTATGTGTGAAAGATCAAGCCATCAATAATTTCAGGATGGTGTTACACATTTAGATGTAGGAAGAGCGTCCTTGTGAAAATTTGCTTCTTTACATGTTGGCACATTGCAGGTCAGAGATGAGCCTTTACCTGGGCATCCCACTGGGAATCTGATGTTTGGCCAGTTTTCAGAGCAGTAGGATTATCCCAGTAAGTTTGCTTCTGTGTCAGACTCAGGGTTTTCATCCTAAAGGTGCTGCTGTCCTGACAAAACACAGACAGGCATTTCTGCTTTGCCCTCCCAAGGAAGCAGAGCCCTGGGGGTCACTGAGGAGCTGCAGCAGCCAAGGATGTGCCCGTGAGAATGAGGAAGAGGATGGGCTGGTGGGCATGAGACAGGCCAGAGGTGCGTGGTGGGAGGACAGCCAGGGGTTATCCAGGTTAATAACTTGTTCCTCATCAGTGATCAACATCATCTCCTGATTAGCAGCTGGGAAAGAGGGTTCTGCACCTTGTGGCCACAGTGCTGCCAGGGCAGCGAGCAGGGCTCAGAGGAACAGCACTGCTTTTGCCCCTGCTGCATCCCTCCCTGCTTTCCAGCTGCTCACAGAAGTCTCTGCCCTACTGCACCACTGGGTTTAGAAAACTTAGAAAGATTCATGCTCTTGCAGGTTGCTGCCTTTGTGTCGGGTTTGGTTGAGATTGAGCAGTGAGTTAACAAAACTGCAGTGAGATACACAGGGATGTCACAATAAGCCCCAGCCCCATGGGCACCAGGCCAGTCCTGACCTCAGACACGAGCCCTCACTGCCTCTTGCAGGATGTTTCAAAAGGAAAAGAGGTGAATCCCGTTTTCCAGAAGCCATGGGTGTCACACGGAAACCCAAAGCACAGACTGCATTTCTTCAGAGCTGTTCTTATTTAGCTCCCTGCAAAGCTGCCCTGAATTTGCTATCTAAAACCCTCAGCACCATGAGTTGGAAATGTTTTGTGCAGCTGTTCACAAAATCAATATTTGCTCAGCTTGCCCGTGCCTGGCTCTCTCCACAGGATCTCGTTTGCTTTGCCCACATGGAACATGGTGGCCAAGGTTGCCAGTGCCTAAAAATAACACCTCCATTCGCTGCCAGCCCTGATATGCCACCTCTTTGTGGAATCATTTCCCAACAGAACAGGGCTGCTGCAGTCATGTTGTCTCTTTGCCTCTTCACCCCATAAATCACTTTCAGATCTGCTGGCCCTTTCAGGGGGATGAGGCAGCAGGGTGGGCATCTCAAAGGCAGCTGAGCTGTTGCAGTCTCAGCAAAACTACCTAGTGGAGTGGAAGAGAGAGGCTCAATCTTGTAACCCCCTGTGGGAAAGGCTCAGATCCTGTGCCAGAACTCCATGAGTGAGTAGCAGAGCAGCCACCAAGGCCAAGGGAGATGCTCAGCCTGACTGCAGCAGCTTTGATCACAGTCAGTGTCTTTGTAAACAGCTCATAATCCACGAGCAGGACACAGACCCATGGCACTGTGAGCTCCCAGGACCATCCACAGCAGGGGTGGATGGCTCCAAGCTGCACCTGAAGTGATTTAATCCCTAATAACAATATTTAAATGCCTGACAATTGAAGAACTCTCATGCAGCTTCCCTGTCAGTATATCAGAGTAATCTTTTCTAAGCTGTAATGTTAATCAGGTTTAAGATTCCTCCTTTCCAGAGCAGAGTGCCACAGTTAACCCCAGCATGCCATGCATTTATTGCTGGAAGCCATTCTGGAGGCTGGACTTGCTTGGAGACCTGGTAGGGAGCTTGCAGCACCCTGATGTTTCATTTCTAGTCGAGAAACATCAGTCAGGGTTGTTGTATCTCAGTCACCCATCAGACTGATCCAGGGGCTGCCTCCTGCCAGCAGGAACCTACAGTCCCATCTCTGGATGGGTGGGAGCATCCTGGGGCAGACGTAGCTGAGCAAAGATGGAAATGGGTCTGGGAGATGTTGGTCCCCAGCTGGGGCACTGGGGCTGCCCTGGGGGCTGCATGGTGAGCACTGGCAGGGAGGCAGTGAAGGGTCACAACCCTGTGCCCCTCTGCCTTGGGGGGATTCACACAAGGTGGTTTTCCTTTTGGAAGGGGATTCTCAGCCCACCTTGGCCTCTTGGTGTAACCTCCCAGCAGTGGGCATTCATCAGCCATTGCCTCCCTCCCTCTGGGATTTGCTCCCTCCCTTGCTGCTGACACTCCAAACCCTGCAGAACAGAGCAGGGAAAGTGCACAAATATGTCCTCATTCAACAGATGGCTTGAAAAACCCAGGAGGGCTTAGCCTTGTGTAGAAGCCACTTGTTTTAAGGATGCTTCATACACAGAACACATGGTTTCCTTTCATCACTTGTGTCAAGACTTGAGCTGGGCTAAGAGGTGTCACCCCCCCTCACCACTGCATGCCTGCCTCCTGTGAGCTATGTTGAGAATCTCTTCACTCCTCTCTCTCTGGTTTGATACTTCCCCTTTGATCTGTGTCATCTCAGGTTTATTTTCCAAGATTCAGAACGAGCCTTGTCAAGCAGGCAGGGGCAGAACCTCTCAGCAGAGGATATTCACTTGTCAGGCTGCTTCTTTCCCACATCAAGTTGGTTTCTTTCCTTTATCTTCCTGCACAGCAGCCAAAGAGGGAACTTCTTTAGCCTGGCCCTAGGAGAAATCTGCCCCTGCCAGGGGCTGGCATGGCTTGGGGATCACATGCAGCTCTACCCAGGTCTGATGGCTTCACACCCAAGTTTGTTGCACTTTATGGTCCAGAGCATGACACTCTGGCCTAAGGTGGGCCTTCCTTTGCCAGAATTGGCTTGGTGGCTTACAGCAGCAAATATTAAGCAGAGCACAAAACTGGCCAATGGGTACCAGGAACCTCTTGTGGTTATAAAACAAGAAAACCAAAATAGCTTTAATGCTTTTCATACTGTGTAGGCTTAAGTGTTTTTTGAAACAGCCTTGGTGTTCCCTGAATGTGGTAAATGAGTTCTCCTGAGTCCTGGAGGGCTCTCAGTGTGCAAGAGGCTGAGTGTGGCAGGACAGGCAGCCTGAGACAGCAGCAGTTCAGCATCCCCCAGTGGGCTCAGATATCCCCTGTACCTGGGTACAAAAGTCCTTTAGGTAGAGGTGCTTTGTGCAAGGGGTAGGTGAGGGCAGCAGCCGCCTTTGCCATAACTATTGAAGGCACTTGTCAATTTTTTCCATCTCATGGGTCTGTCTTGAGCAGAGCTGGGGGCTCAGACGGAGCATGGACCTCTCAAGTGAGCTGTGCTGACACAGGCTGCTCTGCCCAGCCTGGTGCCAGCAGTGCACAGGACCTCACTGGGTGGGTAAGAGTGAATCCCACCCCTACAGCTTCCCTGGGCTAGCTCATCTTCTCCTTGGGACAGTCTGGGAACTGGGAGTTGCACTGCCTGCTGCTAGATTGTGCTGTGAGGTTTTATGTGTCACACAGATCATGTCTGAGTTTTATTTCTCTTTAAAGCAAAGATCTTTTTTAGCATGCAAATAAATGCTCTCCTAAAAGGGAAGGCACCATCTGCTCCTAAGCACAAATTTAATTTTCCAAAGGGTTAGGTTTAAATAAGATGCACAGTCTCAGAGTGGTAGCTGAGGGAAACCTGTAATGGGATTTGGCCCCTTTGGCATCTTGCTGGAAGCAGATGTTTCATTTATGGGAAGGAGACACGGTGCCTGCAATGAAAGAGGGGTTCTGGCAGCTGGAGACTCCACAAACTCCCTGCACTCCTCCCAAGGCGCTGATGGTTGAACAGGTGCTTGCAGGTGGGCTCAGAGCACTGACATGGAGACAGAGGATCGGAAGGACATTGCTGTGGGTCGTTCATCCTTGGGGGACTCAGCGAGCAGGAACCACAGCTGCAGCCAGACACTCTCCTGTGCACAGCCATTGGTGGGCTCAGCTGGAGCAAGGCTGTGCACCTGGCTGGTTTTTCATGTGGGAGTTCTGGGAGCAGCAGCAGCTCACCAGTTCCAGCAGTGCAGGCCCAGCACAGCGCCCGTGGAGCTCTGATCCCCATCAGCTGAGCCACGGCCCTCATTCGCTTTGCCTCTCTTTCCTTCCAGCCGCTGGTGCTGCTGATGGAGTGGCCTGAGGCCACCAACTTCGCCTGCCTCATCGCAGGCTACTGCCGTCTCCTGGTGGACTCCAAGAAGATGATCCTGTCCAGGGCCCCCAGCCAGCCGCCCCCACCTCAGATTATCAAGGCAGGTACGTTTCAGCCTCTGCTTTCCGTGCCAGCCCCTTCCCCAGCCTGCCCCCTTCCCTCAGCACTCTGCAGCATCAGGAAGGTGAAGGCTTTCTCTGGCATCTCCCCTCTGCTCCCACTCCCCTTGAGAACCAGCAGACTCCCTAATCAACCAGAAAGCAGGGAGACAGGTCCTCAGTTTGGGTTGGCCAAAATGACTTGTGGTATCAGCTCAGGTCCTAAACACCATGAGTTGTCGTGGCAGCTCCTGGAGCAGCTCCAGGAGGTGCTGTTTGAGAAGACCTGTGAAGCTGCCAGCCACATGCTGGGCCCTCCCAGAACAGCCTGTGCACTGCTGCAGGGGTGCAGCACACATTCCTTGGCTGGCATCCTGCCCCAGAGCCCCACATGAGGGTCTCAGCACAGGGCACTGCATTCCTGCTGCCTCTGGACACCTCCAAAAAGAGCAGTGATTCTCAACAGTGATTTCAAACAAGAGCCAAGCATGAACTACAAGCTGCTGTTCCATGCAGGTCTTCACATCCAATATGTTTTGTACAGGGAAGTATAAAATATGGGTTCAGTGACTGGAGACTGGGCAAACTACCAACCCAGCTGCCTCTGGAAGGTCACTCCCAGACCTCCCAAGTGTCACTGCAGCTCCAGAGAGCTGTGACAAGTCCTCAGTTTAGCTGCCAGTGTCAAAACTCCCTTCTCAAGATGGGCCTGGCTTGGGGAGCTGGGAGGAGTGCAGAGAGCTCCCAGGGTCCTCAGGAAAGCACTTGGTGCCTTTGGGGAAGGCACTGAACATGGATTTGGCTCATGTGGGAGGACACACTCAGAAGAGAGATCAGGAAAGCATCTACAGCAGCCTCAGTGAATCCAGAAAAGGTCTGGCAGGTGATTTTGGTGTAAGTATAAGCAGTTTCCTCTCCTTTCTTCCCCTGTGCCTCTGACTGACAGCTGTCACTGTGCTCTGCCCTGGTCGCCCTATGGAAATGCATTTAATGACATTTTGCTGTGAGCAGAGGGTGTTTGCAACTAAACTGGTTTAATTGTCATCAGGTCCTTCCCTGGTTATGCCACCCTGAGATGGACTACAGGGACACATGGGGCACGTGGCTGTGGGGAGTCAGGGACATGGAAAGCACCCCATACCCAAAGGCTTGGAAGGAGGCTGGTGGCACCCACAGTTCCTGAGCCCTCAGGGGATGTCTCAGCCTGTGCAAGTGGTGTATTTCCACACTCTAGCTACTGTGACAATAGCTAGATTTTTTTCCTGAGGTTTTGCTTTAGGGCCATGATCCAAACCTCTACCAAAAAGGGTTGTAGATCTTGCCCTTTTCTGGACACTCTCAAGAAACCAATGTAACTCTGCAGGGGCAGGAGCGTGAGGGAGTCACAGGATGGGACAGCGATGGATCTGTGCCAGCCCCTCTCTGGATGGCCTGCTCTATCCTGGGTGCAGTGAAAACCTCTGTGACCCGTGGAGTGGAGCAGTTTCCTTGCAGACCCAGTGCACTCAGCCCAGTTGCTCAGTCACCCTTCAGAAGGAGTGAATTTAGAGTGTATTGGGGAAACAGTCTGCTCACAGTTCTGGTCTCCACAGGGCTGCAGGCTGAGCTGTCAGAGCTGGGCGGATCACAGGGAGCAGCGACTGCTGATCATTAGCACATCCTTGCAGGAGAAAGCCCCACTGGGATGAATTAAGTTATCCCAGACTTCCCAGGCTGCAGGCAGACTGTGCCAGAATCTTAAATGTAAAATCAAGCTTTGGCCCATGCTTTTACCTAGAAGAGGAGCACATCCATCTTCCCTGAGGCCTATTAGAGCCTCCTGCTGAACAGCAGACGTTTTTAGGAATGCACACCCTGTCCAAATGTTGTCAGTTAGATCCATCTCTCTGCATTTCCCTGCAGAGCCATATGCCAGAGCCTTGCCCTCCATTGTGCCATGCTGGAGCTACACAGGTGATTCACCTCCCTGTCCCTTCTTCTCCCCACTCTCTCCATCAGCCATCATCAGCCAAACAGCTCTGTGCCCTTAGTTGCTCTCTCAGCTCCCTGTCAGGAAGTTTTCTCCTTCCTGAGCATGCAGCAGCTGGATTTTGGATTTTAGGGGTTTGGCCCCACTCAGCAGCAGGCCTTGGCTTGATGTGGGCAGCCAGCAAGCCTCTGCCTCAGCCTTTGCCACCCAGCCACAGCCCACACATCCCCAGCCTCGGCAGCCTTGTGCTCCCTCAATGACACAGCTGTCATTTCTGAGCACTGCCATGGCCAGGCATGAAAGAGATTTTGTTTTTATTGGGATTTTAGCATTGCAGGTGATGAACAGTATAATACAAACATGTGTTTGGGGAGACAAATTGTCCAATTTGTTGAGCTAATGAATTTAATTAGGATTTATTTGATTTAATTTATCCTTGGTAAGACAAAACCTGAATCCTCCGGCAGCCGCTCTCAGCACAGCTGCACAATCCAACCTGCAATGCAGACAGATGCCTGAGGGATGGACCACTGGCCAGAAATTCAAGCAGTATTTCAGCCACTTTCCCTGCACAAGGGAACAAGGGGAGGGCTGTCACTGGGAGATACTTAACAGCAAGAGCAACGGGCTGTGTTATAGCCAGCCTGATCCAAGAGCTGTCAGCCAGACAGAAATAGCACATGGAACACGGGCAGCGAGGGACAAGGGGCTGGGGGGTGTCTGTCACTTGAACACGGCCAAACTACAGTGGATGTCTCCCCAAAAGGCAATATTAATCCTCTTTTAATAGTCTCCTGATAAACACTGCTTGGTGTGGCCAGCACTACCCAAAAATGGCAACAATTCCTTCTTGCCATATAACGTGTGAGCCGGCAGGCTGAGGCTGGAGGTCCGTGTTGGAGCAGCCAGGTTGCTCCTGCTGCCCTCTGGATAGAGCTGGTGGATCAGTGATGCAGCACCCACATCTGTGGGTGTGTCTCAGCGTCTGCTGTGCTGGCCAGCCCTCCTCTGGCTCTGCCCAGCTCAGACCCAGCAGAGGGATCAAGCTCAGGGGCCTGTACTGGGACCAGGACTGTTTCATGTCTTCATCAAGGACACAGTGGATTGAGAGCACCCTCAGCACCTTTGCAGATGATACCAAGCTGAGTCCTTCAGTTGAAATACCTGAGGGACAGAGTGACATCCAGGGGGACCTGGACAAGCTCAAGCAGTGGCCCACGGGAATCTCGTGAGGTTCAATGAGGCCAACTACAAGGTGCTGCACCCGGGGCAGTGTAACCCCAGTGTCAGTCCAGGGAGATGAACAGATGGAGAGCAGCCCTGCTGAGGATTTGGGGGTGCTGGTGGATGAGAGGCTGGACAGGACCTGGTCTCACAGCCCAGAAAGCCAAGTGTGTCCTGGGCTGCAGCAAAAGCCCTGTGGGAGGGGATTCTGCCCCTCTGCTCCACTCTGGTGAGACCCCACCTGCAGTGCTGCCTCCAGCTCTGGGGTCCCAGCACAGGAAGGACATGGACCTGCTGGAGCAAGTCCAGAGGAGCCCATGAAAATGACCAGAGGGCTGAAGCACCTCTCCTAGGTGAGAGAGTTGGAGGTTTTAGTCTTGAGAAGGCTCCAAGGAGGCTTTTTAATAGGGCTTGTAGCTATAGCACAAGGGGCAGCGGTTTTAAATTGAGAGTAGATTCAGATTAGATATAAGGAGGAAGGGTTTTATGATGAGGGTGGTGAGGTGTAGGCACAGGTTCCCATCCCTGGAAACATTCAATGTTTCCTTGAATGTTGGACATGGCTCTGAGCAACCTGATCTAGTTGAAGGTATCCCTGTTCATTGGAGAGGGATTGGACCAGATAGCCTTTAAATGTCCCTTCCAACTCCTTCTGTGGTGCAGGACACTTCTTCTACCCTCGTTCCTGCCAGCAGGATTTCCAAAGGACCAGCCAGGTGGCCCAGCTGTGCTGCAGGGAATGTGGGTGTCCACTGCAGTGCTGAGGGCTGGAGGGCAGAGAGCACACGGGTGCTCCTCCAGGGTGAGCAGGAGATTCCCCACGCTGTTTTCCCTTCATCCAGGTGCTGTTGCTAACGTGCCTGTTGTGGTTTTGGTTTAGATTACATCAACGCACACAACTTGCACCGGCCTGCCACTGCAGGGCACGTGGGAAAGAAAGAGAATGGGCTGGTGGGTGGCTCTGCCACTGTCACCGGAGCAGCCGGGGCTTCTGCCAGCAGGGCTTCGGACTCGGAGCTCATCCGCTTCTGCTACCTGCACATGCGAGAGCAGAGGAAGGAAAGACAGAGCGGGACGGATATCAATGAAAACCTGATTTTTTTTGAGGAAACTCGTCCCAGGACCAAATCTGACCCCACTTCCAAAAGCTCTGGCCAAGGCTACAACGGGGCAGCTAAGGAGTACGACCCGGATGGCCTTGAGCAAGACAGGCACGCAAGCAGGACCAGGGCACACACCATAGACACCCACCTGCGCAGCGACGCCTCCCACTTCTACTGCGAGTCCTGCCAAGCCAAGATCAAGAGCCGGCTGGCCTCGGGCACGGGGGGCAAGCCTGGCAGCACCCGTGACAACATGGTGGACTTGATGTCGCTTCCCCCTCCTGGGAATGATGAGGAAGAAGACGAGACAACGTCCCTGCTCCCCGCCATCGCCGCCCCCCCTCCTGGCTTCCGAGACAACAGCTCCGACGAGGACGACCCCAAGCGCCGGGCAGCTGCCCAGAGCCAGGAGCAGGGCCGGCACCTCTGTGGCATCCTCTACGACGAGATCCCGGTCACTCTGATCGACAACGTGCAGCCACGGACGGTCCGAGACCATGCCCAAGAGCTGGATGATGCCCTGGTGTCCACCCTGCAGGCGCTGGAAGCCCTGGCTGCTTCAGAGGATTGTCCACATCCCCCACCACAGCAGACAGCAGGTATTTTAGTGGCTGTGACTCCCTTTTTCCCTATAGCCTTTCTCTCCTACTGTACATCCTTTCCTTTAGTCTCCTCCCATCCTATACGTGACTGTGAAGCAGCTTCTAGTAAAAACTAAGTTGTGGAGCAGGCTGTAGCAGGAGCAGCCAAGTTGCTGCTCAGAAGATTTCTAAGAAGCTGAGGTGGGACTCCTTTCCCTGACAGTGGCTGAAGGAGTCTCTTGGTTATCCCGTATCTGCCACATGCCACGATGCTGGGGCGAGTCTCTAACAAACCAGTACTGTGAGCATGGCTTCCTCCCCACTGTGACCCCACTCAGCTGGGACCTTTGGCCATCGGTCTTTGCAGGTTCCCACCCAGGTTTTGCAGTGTGTGAGCCCTTCACAAGGCAAACCTGCTGCCAGATGGGTGACTCTGGGACCAGCCTGCTGGCAGGACAGTCCTTTGTCCCTCGTCCCACCTTGGTTGCCCTACTCACTATGGCAGAGTACCTGTTGCCCAGTTTTCCTTCTTGTGACAGACACGTCCCTATAGCTCTGCTACCACCAACAATGGAAAGCTTCACAGGATCTTTTCCTAGGCCAGAAGCTCTTGCTGAATTGAGCTATCAAGCCAGCTCAATGCTGACAAGTGATCTCCCTTACAAGCCTTAACTCTTAGTTGTGAGAAGTCACGGAAGTTTCTCCAATGTGCCCTGCATTCCTGGGACCCTCCTGCCGCAAGGAGTTCCCCTCTCTTCCACACAGCACTGTGGTGTGAGGGTTGTTGTGGGGTTTTCTTTGTGTCCCTCCTCAGGTCTTATTGTCCTGGCTGCCATCACTCCTGAGTCATCTTTGGACTCTGGCCACGAAACAAACTCCTCAGAGCTGACCGATGTCTCGGAGATGGTCTCTGCTATGAAGCAGCATCAGAACGCAGCCTACTTCCTCACGCAACACATCAACAAAGAAAACCTCCTGGCCAGGAAGGACTTGCCTTTCCGAATCCAGAGCTGTGCTGCCCAGGCTGTTCTCGCCTCACCCTACCCCCTGAGCCGCCAGGACCCGAGCTCTTCACTGAAGCCAGCCTTCTCTGCCCAAAGTCCCAGCCTTACCAACTGCAAGAGCAAGCAGGAGCAGCAGCACGGGGAGCAGAGCTGCACCTCGGCTGCCCAGCCGGGCCTGACCCCCCAGCTTAGTGAGCAGAGCAAGGGGGCTTCCGTGCCAAGCTCCGAGGGCAAAGGTGCAGGTCACACAAAAGCTGCCTTTGAGGTATCTCTGCATGCCACAGCAGCCCCGAGCAGGGAGCAGGCACAGGATCTACAAGAGAAGAAGCCCAAAGAGGTGCAGCCGAGCTCCAAGCTCCTCCTGGATCAGAAAAGTTGTGTAACTCCAGCCATCGTTTCAGCTGCTCTGCAGCAGGTGGCAAATGCAAAAGCCTCAGCTCCCCAAGTGATATCAGCCTTAAAAGAAGACCAGAGCATGAATGGTACCAGCAGCTGTGCACCAGCCAGCAGCAAGCCTTTGACACTTAAAGGAGGTCCACAAACTGCAGAGATGTTATGCAACTGTCAGCAGCAGCAGCAGCAGCACTGTGAAGTTTCTTCAAGTCCTAAGGAAGCTCCTGGCAGTCAGGCTGAAGCTTTCCACCTCGACTCAGCTGGTGAGGAAATGATATCCAGTAAGACTTTTGCCTCTAAAAGCTACCAGCAAAAAGTGAGCAGAGATGCTCCAGGAAAAGCTGCAAGTGGAGAGACAGGTCAGAAGGCAGGTGGGGAAGCCACAAGCCTCATCTTGCAGAAACACACAGCTCCTTCAAACCAAGGACAGAAAATACAACAGGAAAGCTCGGCCAAAATCTTAAAAGCTGAGAGCAGCAATGTGCACTCTCCATCACCTGGTAGCACTTTCAGGAGCACCAGTGAGGAAGCCAAAGGGCCCATCCAGCTGATGCCCAGATCTGAGAGCTTGCAGACTAGCACTGTGCCTTCCAAAAAAGTAGAAAAAGTCCTGGAGGTAAGCCAACAAGATGCTGATGTCCCAGCTAAACCCAAAGCCCCAAAAGCTCACTTCAGGCTTAGGAACCTGTTCTCTGCAACATTTCCCACCCGGCTGAAGAAGGAAACGGATGAGCGGCAGGCCCAGCTGCAGAAGGTGAAGCAGTATGAGCTGGAATTCCTTGAAGAGCTGCTCAAGCCAAAGAGCAAAGGGGATCTCCCTCCACAGGAGTACCTGCACCCACCTGCCCCTGGGCGCTGCAGCTGCCAGCTGAGGAGCAGTCCTGTGCAGAAAGTCCCAGGGATGTCCAGGGAGCAAAGGCGTAGCTGTGACTGCAAGCGGATTTGCAGGGGAATGAGGCCACCCCCCAACCAGCTGGTGATACCAGAACTGGAGAGGCGAAGCAGGGATAAAGCGGCAGATGACCAGAAGCAGGTAGAAGCCATTAGGCTGACAAGCATGAGCAGCCCTTCCAAAGGCAAACGGATACGATCCACAAGTTTAGAGTCCAGAGAGAACCGGTCAGATCCAGAGAACGACATGTCCTGTTTGACAACGTGCGCCTCCCGAGGGGAGTGCATGGGTGCACCCCACTACAGGAAGCTCTTGCGTCGCTACAGTGTCAGTGAAATAGATAAGACTGATAGGACATCCTTGTCCTCTGATGTCTACCAGAACATCTACACAACCAAGCAGAAAGGCCCCCAGAAAGAGCCTGAGCCCACCATCCTCTGTCCTGTTCTGAAGAGCAAAATCCAGGAAGCCTCTGGAGTGGCTGACCCCTCCTACGTGCAGATAGCGCAGGACAAAAAGAACCAGAAGGGTTCAGCAGTGTTCTCTGTCCAGGAGGAGATGTATCCAAGTCCTGCTGAGCTGCGGGATGAAGACATGGAGGATGAGAAGTGCTGCTCCATCCGGTACTGCTTCTACTACAGAAAATGCGATGTTGCAGACGATGGGAGCGAGAAGGATGAGCTGTCCTATTCCATCCCCATGCAGATACTCCCGGGAATGAAGCTGGACAATCAGATGGTCCCAGTCATGAGCAGAACTCTTCAGGTCCTAGATGCAACAGCCTGCAGCAGTCCCAATGAGAGCCAGACCCAGGAAATAGATTTAAGGACCTCCAGTTTTGAGGGGAGCTTGGCAAAGATCAACACCCTTCGAGGCCATGCCTACAGCTTTCCCAATGGGTTTCTGCAGGTGCAGCTAGACACCAACGAGCTCCTGACCATCCTGAGGCAGTGTGTGCTGAGCCCTGAGGTCCGGGACTGCAAACCCTACATCTCCCAGCTGGCTGAGTACAAGCAGGAGCTGGCCCTCAAGTTCAAGGAGTTCCGGGCGTCCTGCCGCCGCGTGGCTGCCGTCGACAAGAGTCCCACCCACATGCTCTCCGCCATCACGAGCAGCTTCCAGGTGCTAAGCAGCCTCATTGAGACCTTTGTGAGGCTGGTGTACGTTGTGCGCTCGGAGTCCCAGCGCCAAGAGCTGCTGACGAAGGTGGAGGAGGTGGTGAGAAACTACACCTTCCTCCTGAAGGCTGCCGAGGAGTCCACGGCCAGAACGCTGAGCCACCAGCAGACTGTGGAGCAGCTCGCCCGCCAGTCAGCCACGGTCGCCACGGTCATGAGCACTCTGACACGCTCCCTAAAGACGTTGATCAATAAGTAAAGCCAGCTGTGAAGACCAACAAGCCAGTGTGTGCCAGGCCATGCTGTCAAATCTCACAGGTCTGGTGAGGATGCGATGTCTGCAGGCCCATGTTTACCAGGGTTTGCGATAGCCAAGACACTCGTCGATCTCTGCAGAATGGATGGTTGTGTTGGTGATGGGTTTGAAGGGTGAATTCATGCCCTGTCACAAGCTGTCAAGGGGCTCAAGCAGCTTCTCTGCTTGTTCTCCCACGCTGGCTTGTTGGTGACAGCATGTGGGAGGTACAGGCACCCCATCTCCACACCAGTTTGGTTCCGTGGGGTTCTGGGCCTCACTCGTGCAAAGACCTTTGTTACAGTTTGTGGTGGGCCAGTTAGCTGTCAGGAGCTGAGCTGAGGTCTGGCTTCACCTGGGCAGTCTGGAGCCAAACCAGTGTCTTGCCACGTAAACAACCCTTCTGCCTCCAGGATCTTCCTGGCCCACAAACACAACGTAATTAGCAGCAGAAGGGATCTCTGGAGTGCAAGTCCCCACTGCTGTGCTGGGGCTTGGGAAGGTAGTCCTAGCATGGGCAGGTTGCCATAATCCTGGGACAGAGCTAGGGCACCCTACTGGGCTCTACTGTCACAGCTTGGGCCGCAGTGCTCTAGTCCTGAGCACTGCCTGTGCCAGAGGCAAGGGCTTCACGCCTGCAAGTGGGGAGGACCCAGTGAACTACAGGCCTGACAGTCCAGCCTCGGTGCTGAGAAGGTCATGGAGCAGATGATCTTGAGTGCCATCACACGGCACATACAGGACAAGGGGATCAGGCCCAGCCAGCACAGGAGAAAGGCAGGTGCTGCTCGACCGGCCTGGTCTCCTTCTATGACAGGGTGACTTTGTGGGTGAAGGAAAGGCTGTGGATGTTGTCTACCTAGATTTTAGTAATGCCTTTGACACTGTGTTCTTCAGCATTCTCCTGGAGAAAGTGGGTGGATGGAGGAGCCCCAGAGAGTGGTGGGGTATAGAGTTAAATCCAGCTGGGGCCATCACCAGTGGTGTTCCCCAGAGCTCAGTGCTGGGGCCTGTCCTGTTTAGTATCTTCCAAGGGCACCCTGAGTCTGGAGATGACACCAGTTTGGGTGGGAGTGCTGGAGGGCAGGAAGGCTCTGCAGAGGGATCTGGACAGGCTGGGTCCATGGGCTGAGGCCAACTGTGTGAGGGTCAGCCAGGTCCTGCCCTTGGTTCACAACGACCCCCTGCAGCTCCAGGCTGGAGCAGAGGGGCTGAAAAGTGTCTGGTGGGAAAGGCCCTGGGCTGGTCAACAGCAGCTGAACATCAGCCAGGTGTGCCCAGGTGGGCAAGAGGCCACTGGAACCTAGCCTGTCCCAGCCATGGTGTGGCCAGCAGGACCAGGACAGTGACTGTCCCCCTGACTGGGCACTGGTGAGGCCACTCCTCAAATCCTGTGTCCAGCTCTGGGCCCCTCACCACAAGAAAGACACTGAGGGGCTGGAGCATGTCCAGCAAAGGGAACAGAGGTGAGAAGGGTCTGGAACACAAGTCACATGAGGAGCGCAGAGGGAACTGGGGGGGCTCAGCCTCCCAGGAGAAGAGGAGGCTCAGGGGGAACCTTCTGGCTCCTCACAACTCCCTGACAGGAGGGAGCAGCCAGGTGGGGATTGGTCTCTTCCCCCAGGTAGCAAGTGACAGGATGAGAGGAAAGGGCTTCAAGTTGTGCTGGGGAAGGTTTAGATTGGATGTAAGAAAAATTTCTTCACTGATGGTGGTCAGGTTTAGAACAGGCTGCCTAGGGAAGGGGTGGAGTCACCATCCCTGGAGGTGTTTAAAGGACATTTAGTTGTGGCATTTGGGGACATGTTTTAGTGGTGCACTTGGCAGTGCAGGGGGAATGGTTGGACTCAATAACCTTAGAGGTCTTTTCCAACCAAAAGAATTCTGTGTTCCCCCTCTGGATGGCTGAATCCATGCTAGAGACCCTGCAAGGAACCCAGATTGACTGATCTTTGACCACTGCAAGCCAGATGGTGGGCTAGCAGCTGAGGGGAGACCACTTTCACACTATTCTCCAGAGGTTATGCCCCCCAAGGCTCAGCCCAAACCCCCTCCTATTTCTTTTCACTGTGACCATCAGAGAGGAGCCCCAGATCAGCTTTGACCATGAGCCAGGCAGGGGCTGTCCTCCTTGCCAGGGTGTTGGGGTTCTTCTTCTGTCTTCATCAGGCTGACTGCCATAAGAAGCATTATTTAGTTCTGTGAGGTGGTTATTTACTTGGAGTTGAGTTTTTTTTTATTGTTTTGGGGTTTTCGTTTTCACTTCTGGGTGAATGGTGAAATGATTCCTAGTTGTGTTCCTTCCCATCCCAAGGTTCCCCTCCTCCTCCCAGTCTAGTAATAGACATAACCAATGAGACGGCCTTAACTGGTGTTTCCCTGCATCCACCTACCCTCCAGAACACAGCAAGGTCACACACATTGCATTGCCCTCACCCTGCCACCCACTGCAGTTCACGTCCCGCCGGGGTCCCGCTGCCTGTCCCTGTCACACCCCCTCTGGCTGGGCAGGAGGTCACAACATCGGCCTCACGGCACTGAGGGCAGTTGTCCAAGCCAGCCAGCTCGCCCCAGCCCTTGGGGATGATCAGGGATCTCCGTGCGAGCAGTCGCTTCCCATCTCTATTATTTTTGATAAATATGCACATTCGAAATGTCTTGTTCTTCCATAGGAGCTATGGAAATGCACAAATGTGCTTTTAACATGCGCATCCTTGGAGTGCAATAACCTCCCCTGGCCCATGGCTGTCCCGGACTGGGGCCGTGGCTGTCAGCAAGGCACGGAGGATCCTGCTGTGGGGACAGCCTCCTGATTCCAAGAACCATGTAGCAAATATCCAGTGGAAGAGCCAATTGGGACTTCAGTCCATGGTGGGCAAGGCCTGTTACAGTGCTGAAGGCTGACAGGGAGACGTGTTTTCCTTTTCCCTGGGAATTACCTAGTGTGAAACTCCGAGTTTCTTCAAAGTTCCCCATTATGCCTATATCATTCCTCCATAAATCTCTCAGTCTAATAAAAAGGAAAATTTTTTTATTGTCTGTATATAGTATATATAAATAAAAAAATATATAAGTTATATCTATATACAAATTTATGTCTTGTTTTACAAACAAGAAAGATTAAATATATTAATCTTAATATCCAAACTAGCATTTGTGTATTTTTTTAAGAACTTTGTGGAAATGTTGCTATTCTGAGATGTACAGGACACTGTTTGTAAGCAAAACCTATTTTTGTTCCTGTAGAAATGCAAGGATCACAGACAGGTTTGAAATGAACTGTTTGGCTTGCCAAGGTCACTTTTACTTTATTAATGGCTGTTTTGGTTTAATTTTTCCCCAGAAGGGGAAAGCAGCAACAGTCACCCCTTCAGTGCTGGCACTGGGCACTGTGGCTGTGCTGGGACACCCTCCTGCCCTAAAGCTGGGGAGAAAGGGGTGATTTAACAAACCCCTGCCTGAGCCCTTTCAGATGAGCGCCCAGTGACCAGCTCCAGTCTGTGTTTTCACTCAAGCCTCTCCCTGGCTCTTCTGCCTGGGAAGAGGGGACAGTGTGGACCTGCCATCAGTGGCCTGATGGCTCTGCTGTCCTCTGGGACTGCTCTGGTGCGTCTGCAGGGGAAAGCCCAGCAAAGCAGAATGCCAGACCTGGGGAGAATTCTGAGCCAGGCAAACAATTTCCTAGCTGCAGATGATATCCAATGTACACGTTTTTGCCTGGCACCATGAACTGCTCTCTGTTAATCAGGGAGGAAGGTGTTGGTGTGTATTCTCTCTATACACCCCAAAGCCTCTAGGAATTATAAAAGCCAAGTCTAATAAGGATCCAACAAAAAAAACAAACAAAAAAAAAGACCTATAGGAACTGGGTCATTCTCTATACGGGGGTTGAATGTGTTGTCTAAAGCAAAGGCGGCAGCACTTGAGACTCACACACATTCTCTGTGCCTCCAGGCTCATTATTTTAATCTGCATCACACCATTTCCCATGCTGAACTAACGATGACACTGAATGGGACCAAACTCACCTATTTATAAAGCTGGATATGGATCAAAAACATGGAAAAGCCAAGAGGTTTTCTAACAACCCCCGGAGCCTGAAAACGTTACTGACAGCAGGCAGTTTAATCAGCGGTTTCAGACTCGGTGCTTAGTACCATCTAGAGGGCAAGAAGCACACTGTCAGAATGTTGTTATTTGTACAGGGATATTATCCAGGAGCAGCCAGATGTTCCTGTGTGAGCAGAGGAGCTGGACTGGTACATACATCGGAGGATGATGGTGCTGTGCTCTACTCATCCCTTAGGTGTGTAAGGGATTTGTAAATATTCTCAAAGGAAATGATCCAAGTAAAATGTTCTTGTTAATGGTTCTGAATCACAGATATTTTTTTAGAAATGCATATCAGAACACAGCACAGAGAATTAAAAGTGGGTTTTTTCCCCAAATCTAGTTCCCATTTCACTGCCCATCTAGTTTATCTCCCTGCAGACTGCCTGGCTCTCATTTAGCTCCAACACTTCTCCACCCCAAAGCCACTGTGCCCCAGGAAGTCAAAGCAAGTTAAAATACTGTGTGATAAACCAATTTTTCTGCACCCCCTCCCACCAGAGCAGTTTGTCTGAGAGTGGCAGATTGTGTTTACTGCCCTTCAGCACCTTCTCAGAGCAAAGCCAGCAGCACCTGCCCTTCTCACATTGCCCTCACCCTGAGTGTTTTGCTGTAGCCTCACGGCTGGTGCAAATTTCCTCCAGGAACTTCCCAAGCTCCTGAGAGCACGGCACAGCCATCAGCATCCTGATGTCCCTGCACCCCAAAAATCTGCTCCTCCCCTAATCTCCAATCCATGTCTGCTCTCAAAGAGTTCCCACCAAGGCTCTGTCAGTGACCATGAATAGAAAAGGAACAAAATTTGGGCTACTGCTGGTCCCTGTAATGCTCAGGAGACCAACAGAAGAGCTGGT